ATATAGGACGTCTACTATAATTAGCCAATCAAATTTTAAGGATCGACAACCAATCAGATGGATATTCAACCATGCTGTCACTTATTTGGAATAATTAAATAATTTATCGGCTATGACCGGTTATTTGACCGTATGACCGATGACCGACCGTGACCGACCGAACCCATCCCTACTCAGCAACAGCTCGTTAGCTTGTGCGGGTGATTCTGGTCCCTTATTGCACTACATCGTAATCATTGTCGTGTGTTTATGATGAACGATAATAATAATAAATAATTCTTTGTGATGAAGGTAGATTAATTATGGCATAAAAATGTTATAATTTTATGATCACCGACCATTTCTAGCACATCCCCAAAAAAAGCCAACAAGGCGAAATAAATATTGATATGATAACTCATGCGCATGGGAATATTTCAGAATTTTCAGAATATTTTGGAATCCCATAATTCTGGTCTGCATTAGCAGCGCATGATGCGCATGATTATGACTAGTAATACCAGGCTAAAAAATTTCGCAGATCACAAGATCATAAAAATATAATCGTAATTGTAATCAACTTTCTAATAAATTTTCTAATCACTGAGATATATAACGTAAATTAAAACTTTTTTTCGTATTCTTTTTTTCTTTCGCACTATTCTTCATTTCTTTTTCATGTACCAAAAATGATTACTGCTGATCATGAAAAGAAAAAATACGATCATTGCAGGCTTTGGTACACAGAAGAAAGCTTTATCAGAAAAAATAACAAAATTGTCCAATCGTGTAACAAGTGCCGAACTTCGGTCGGTAAAATGAATCGGATTAAGGCAAAAACAAAGACGAAGAAATTAAACGGTGCCAAAGTTTTGCTTATACTCGAGACCAGCTTGTCGATTTCTTCTTGGATTTCCTAGATTCTTATGATAGTTTCGACAATGCTGAACCATGCACTCAAGTATTTGGAAATTTCCAAATACCGTATAGTTCCGAAATTAAGCACCCTTTTTTTGTTATAGGGGGTGCTTAATTTTGGGTAACTTTTTTTTTTGATAAGATTTATGATATGATGTAATTTATCATTATAAATATTAAAAACAAAATAGACGTTATCGTTATTATTATCATTATGTTGCCACGAAACAAATATAGAAATGTTATACAAAAAAAGGAAAGTTACTAAAACGTAAGCATAATTCATATTCTTTCGAACAAAAGAAACAAGTTGTCGCCTATGCTAAAGAAAATGGGAGAAATAAAGCCGCGGCAGCCTTTAAGCTTGATCCTAGTATGGTTGGCCGTTGGATTAAAGCAAGTAGGCTATGG